GGTGGTGGGCTTTTTCTTTATACATCAGTTAAATTACAATGAGACACGTTTGCTGAACATAAGTTAACATTTAATATTCATTATTAAAATATTTGACATAAAATAATTAGAAAATATTTAAAATAAGAAATTAGCATCGCCTCCATTTGCTGACGAGAAGATGCTGATTATCAGAAAGGTCAAATATCGGCCCAGTTGATCAGCCAACTGATCGATCAATCTGTTGCTAAATCTGGCGACTTGTTTTGTTCAAATCTGAAGCTTTCTGATCAAAAACACATCCAGAAAACCATTATCTTCACATTTGACACCCATGCCCGTCAGCATAAGCCTGGTCCAGGGCTGCATCAACCTTCAGGGGCCCCGGGGCCAAAGGAGTTCTCACTGGGCCCCTACTGAACATGGACATCCACTTCTACCAGCTGCCACATTCAAGTGATGTATGTTACTCTGAAAACGTCCCTTTCTCTTTATTCTTGGTACTTTAAGCACATTTTTACAGTACCTTTACTTTTTACTTGTATTTTTGCCCTGTGGTATTTCTACTTTTCATAAGTAAAGACTCTGAGGCTTCTTCTTCCGCCTCTGGTAAAGTGGCCGGTGAGCGTCCAGGTGTGTCGGCGCTCCCAGTTTTTTTCGAGGGCCCACCTGTGTTTCTGAGCCAGCGGCAGCAAACAGGTGCAGGGCTGCCACTGGCCACTAACAGGTCGTCAGCCACCTGCGCTACCTGAAACATGCTTTGTTGTTGTTGTTGTTGTTGTTGTTTTTAGCAGACAAAACACAACACAAAGTGTTTCTTCTAAAGGGCCCCCGTGCTCCATGCGGCGCGGACGGCTGACGGACGCCCGGAGGGAAAGTTGTGGTCACCTCGTTAAGACTTGAGTAAATTCACGTTTTAACACGGAGCCGGTCCTACAGCCGTTAACGGAGCAGTGTGGGGCAGCGGCTCAGCCCGCCCTCCCGCTTCCCCCCAAACTGTCACGGAAAGCGGACACTTACCTTCACCGAGTGTCCGCTCAACACCGGCAGGAGGACGGGAGAGGAGGGGGCTCTGCGCGTACACAGCGTCCAAACAAACACTTTGCTGTTGTTGTGTCTGTGTCCTGCAGCGCAAATTAAGTCCCGTTCTGAGTCGCTTCGTATCCGGACAGGAAGCGACAAAGACAACAGATGCGACGGCAGCGAAGGTCTCCAGTCGGGCTGCTGTCAGCGCTCGGCGCAGGAGGAGCGGAGGCTGCCGCGCGCATGCGCTCACCCACCGCTACTGCGAAACAAAGATTGTCTATTGTAGGGAGTCCTCACTCAAATCAAAGTCTTACGTTGTGAAATCGTGTTTGTGTCCTGGCAGTTGAGTTTTCCAAACATCAACACATTCTTAAAGTAGACTAGTCGTTATGCAGAATGGCACATTTCACACTGGTGCATCATTGTGTTCATTACTTTAATGTTGCAGCTCGTAACGTTGAAACTTATCTTATAACGGAGCATTATTTATGTGAAGCACTTTACATCCTGCTGGGTAGCTGGTGGTAGTTCCCACTGGGCATCAATAAAGTCTTATGACTCTACCTTATTTTGTTTTATTAAATTGATTCTGAAAAGGAACTAAAGTTATCAAATATATGTAGTGCAGTAAAAAAAAGGTCTGTCGCTGAAATGTAGTGAAGTCCACATATGAAATAGCAGAACATGGAAATAGGCTACTCAAGTACAGTAAATGCTTCAAAATTGTACAGTATTTGAGTTACTTTGCACCTCTGTGAATCACTGAATGGGCCTAATGGGCCCAGGTTCAGCCACAGGGCTCCTGCCCATCACCTGCAAGATATCCCAGAAAGAGAGACTGTATGAGCAAAACAAGTCACTAACACAAATGTTACCTCAGCAGGATGAAAAATGGTCACAGAGAAACACAGATATTCATTTTACAATTACTAGCATTTAAGAACATATTTTAATAGATATTTGAGAAGCTGCCACCACAGCAGGCAGCTCAGAGGCTGGGTCGTATTTGTAGGTGTCACTCATCCACCCTGGTTTTATTCTACAAGGCATTCCAACATACATGTAGCAACATGTGACTTTCCTGACTTTGAGATACACTGCCCATGTGACCTTCTTCTTGTGCAGCCCACAGTGCAAAGTGCAGCGGCTGAAGGAGAGGACGTTTTCTGCAGATGAGGTAGCATGAGGGAGGGTTTGTCTGTACTTTTCTCTTTGACGTCTATTGACAAAAATCTAAATTATACCTTTGAAATGGCTAAATC